TTTTGTCGTGTGTGTGTGTGTGTGTGTGTGTGTGTGTGTGTGTGTGTGTGTGTGTGTGTGCGTGTGCGTGTTTTATGTGTTTGTGTTTTGAGGTGTTCTTGCTAACTTCTGTCATGTGTGTTTGACTGTGTGATTTATATGTGTATGTGTTTTGAAGTGTTCTTGCTAACTTCTGTTGTGTGAGTGTATGTGTGTGTGTGTGTGTGTGTGTGTGTGTGTGTGTGTTTTATATGTTTGTGATTTGAGGTGTTCCTGCTAAGTGTTTTATATGTGTTTGTGTTTTGAGGTGTTCCTGCTAACTTCTGTTGTGTGTGTTGCTTTTTTATATATCACAGACAATCATCTGACATTGAATTGAATGAAGTCTGGGAGCCAGTCAGCAAAAAGCCATATATTGAGGGACATGATGACAGCACCTCTGAAAAAATCGTAAAAAATACAATAATGTGTTTATGCTTCAGTTACTGTGTCAGAAATTATTGACAGTGAATCTGGATAAGAAATTGAATAGCTCTAAGTGTAACCTTTCATTAGAGCCCAAAATTATGACAGTACATTAAAGCATTCAAGAATTGCAGCATTTTATGTGTCGTTGGTTACAAAGGGTCATTTGGAGTCTCCAAGTGGCCTTTTTTGGGAAGCGCCTAGACATAAACTTAGATAAACATGTGTAAAACACTCATTTTCTAAGGTATTGTTAGCAAATTTGAAATTTGGCTTGGTAAGGCTTCATTCTGTGATCCCATTGTATTTTCCAGCTAATAGCTCCCAGCTATAGTCATCTGCAGGCATCTGTTTACAAAAAAAATGTAGGCAGATTTTTTTCTTTCTTTTTTAGTGTGTTCAAAGTTCTATTACTCAATACCAGTAAGACTTACAGTGATTCTGACTGTTGAGGAACACACCTCAGAGTATCACCTTTCAAAAGAGACCAAAACCATGCATACCTGTATACTCCAAATGGTTCAAGAACAGCATGCCATTTACTTTGGGTATGCCTTTTTAGGCGTTTTAGGCAAATTTTACAGGAATGCTAAGGGGCTCTAGACTAGTACCGGTTATACTCTGCCGCATCCTTGCGTTACCTATTAATCTGAATGGCTGTAATCAATCAGGCAAAACAAATTTATACCAAACTCTTTTGAAAATGTGAACAGTTGCCGTTTATGATTGACATTGAAACTTTGTTACCTTTCCGAAATAATCCACTAAACAAGTTGCGATTTGAGGAGCGTGCACTAATATTTTCTGATCCATTCATTTGCGCATTGTCTCAAGGACACGCCCACAATAGGGGAAACTCATGAATATTCACTCATGCACCACCCATTGGAACCAAATATTTCAGGAACCAAATATACTGTAACACCTGTCCACTTGATGTTCTACAACTTCCACTTCGTCATCAGCTTTAGTAAAATAATCTGATAGCTGAGGATTTTACTGAATAACTCATATTTTCTCTGCTTGTCTTTTAAGTTTTTCCTTTTGTGAGCCCCTCTCACATTTTTTTTTTTTTAGAATAGCTCACATTTTTACCTACTGAAGATTACTTTCTGTGACGATTTCCAGATTACACTGGAACGAAGTGAAGAGTAGAGGTGATTTATTGGTGGATGCGGACATCCCAATAAAGGCACACAAATCACCTGATAGATGTAGGTCGTTCAAAAGTCAAATATGGAATAAACGCATTTGATTGGTAAACCAAACTCAAACGCTGACATTTCAATCCCCAATGGTAATGCATGGAATTTACGGTAAAGCTCCACTCAAGAACAACAACGCTAATAATTGGGGGCTGTGGTGGGACTTTGGTGATCAGTGCTACCAATGGCAAGTCAATCTACTCCACAGCCAATCACGGGCCCCCTCCTTACTCGGGTGCCGGGGCTTCAGCCCCGCCTAGCCCTATTGTTCATGCGGCCCTGAGTCCAGATCAAGCGGCAGCCATCTGGTCTCTCTCTTGAAACCAACACGGAAGTGACTTAAACTGCAATTCATCGACTGGCTCCAAAAGGGAGTCATTCCCATAGACGCCCCATGTTAAAGTGGCCAACTTTACAGTGGAAAAAAAAAAATGTTTACAGCCTGGTACAAAAAGTGGTTTTGGTATATATAGCTAATTTTGCCCATCATGACAACTGTGAGGGGGGTGATTTTTTTAATATAACTCATGAGTTTAAATTATATTAAGCCTTAAATTTCTGCATAATTAAGGGCGTGGCCACTTGAGTGACAGGTGGATCGCCTGCATGTCGAGCTAGGTGGGCGTGGTTTCAGCAACCAGGCACCTCAACTCCACCCACGTCCTGCCTTTTTGCCCATTTTCAATTATCCGTGAGTGATGCGCGGTGACGTGCTGCCAAGATGGCGACTGCCAGCTCCACCCACTTTGGGCTTCAAAAATACTCTTCAGAAACATTCGAGAGACACTATGTCCATGTTTTTATACAGTCTATGGTTCAGATACATCTTCAAAGGCCATACTTTTGCATGCAGAATTAAAAAATAATAATTAAATAAACAATAATAATGCAAAAAGGAAAATTAAACAGAAAATAATTTCTATAGCTTTTATTGTTGATGTCACAGATGTCTATTCAAACTCTACAGCATTTTGGCACACATTCATTTGTATATCTCAGGGTTTCCACAACTGGGGTTCAGGAGGGAACTGCATGGCATTCTTGAGTTAATGAAAAGCTATAGCTTTTAATAATTAAATCCTGAAAAAAAAAACATAAAATTAAAACAATAATTAAAAATGTAAAAAAATAATTTTAAATAACATTTTAAATAAAAAAACATACCTTTTGCTAAAAAAGATGAAATATTTTGTTTACCTGCGTCATGTGACTTTTTTACCGACATCAAAGAACTGTGGACATGCAAATATCTTATAAATCATTAAAATATCAACTTCAAGAAAAATATCA